TTTTAAACGAAAGTACGCGGCGCTAAGGCGAGAACCACATTTTGAAAACCACCCGCCCTCAATCCGTGAAGCCCTTGCAATTTTTCAACGAAAGAACGAGGCAGGAACTTTCCCTTTTTACCCGCCTTCTCCTCTTCCGCCTCCTCTGCCCCCTCCTCCTGCTTCTCCTCCTCCTCCTCCTCAGTAGCCATTTTGGCTCAAGCCTGGCTCTAGCTAGCTTGGGCTCGCAGATGGCGCGGGAGCCCCTCCGTGGGGCAGCTGGGGCCCGGGCTGCCGCAGACCGCCTCGTCCAGCGGCTGGTGAAGGAGCTGTCGGAGGCCCGGCTGGAGATCGAGCGCCTCAAGAGCCTGCAGTAGCCAGCTGGCGATGCCGCCCCGGGCTCTTGGCGCGACCGAGAGCTGGCGGCGCGGCCGGCCTTGCAGGCCGCGGTTGCAGGCGCGCGTGTGTGCGGACGTCGCAGGCGCCGCCGCATCGCCGCGTGGCACGCGCGCCGCGTGCCAGTCGGCGGCTTTGCGACGGCCCCCGACGCGGCCATCGCGGAGGTGGCAGCAGGGCCGCGCCTCGGAGCCTTCGGCGGGCAGGCCGAGCGCGTGCCCGTGGAGTGCGTCGTCGAGATCTGCCAGGCGGAGGCCGCTGTGGTCTTTCCGCGTGTTGCATTCGAGGTCTGCGCGGCGGAGCCTGCGGTGAAGCGGCCTGTGGAGGCGTCCGCGCGCCGCACGCCGCTGCGCTCCGCGTCGAGGCCTTACATCTCAAGGCCGCCATGCGTGTGGGGCCGACGGAGCCGACGGCCCTGCAGCGACGAGATCGCGGAGGCGATCCTCGAGGGGCTGGGCCGCGGGCCCCTGGCGCCGGCGGACAGGGCTGAACCTGGCCCTCCCCGTGAAGTGGGTTGGAAGGCAGACGTGGTGCCGTGTCGCGTGGGCCCCCAGGTGGACGGTGCTGCAGGCGCGGGGGCGCCGCCGCCGCAGCTGGAGCATCTGGGGGGCGAGGGGGACAGCGCCAGCGTCGTGCAGGGGCTTTTCGATGATCCGAGCAGCGTCGAGGAGAGCTTCGACGGGCAGGGCCAGCGCATCGGCATCGGGGAGGTGCTGGCCAAGGCTGCAGGCCATGCTGGAGCGGAGCGTGGCGTTCTACAAGGTCGGCGTGGGCAGAGCCTGGGGTTAAACCCAGGCCCTGCCTACGCTCAGGAAGGGGTCCTGAGGGGTCCCCGCGCGTGAATTTATTGCATGACCTGTGACCTTGTAGGTCTAGTCTAGCCTCCTCCTCCTCCTCCTCCTGATCCTCCTCCTCCCGCTCGAACGGTACCTCCTCGCGCTGTCCCTGCCTTAATTGGCTTCTCCCTTTCGCCGCGTCTTTCTCTCGGGGGCGCGGTCCTTTCAACTAAGTGCCCGTGTTATACATGAGTTGTTCACATACCGTGTTATTTCGTGCCCTGTGCAGCATATTTCGCACCTACATGGCCTGCGTGGCACCCCTTGGCCACCCCGCCGCGATGGCTAGGGCCCCGCCGCTCTGCCGTGAGCCACGACCACATCACATACGACCTCGACGTGGACCCCGTTTCATTCCTCCAGCTGCGCCGACTTCGCGCTGGATCGTCTTGACCGTGTTCGTACTCTACTACCAGATTCCCGCGGCTGGCGGCGTCGATGCCGCCCCGCCGCCAGGTTTGACCTTGGGGAACGAGCGCGCCTACCAATGCCGGGACATCAACAAGAAGAACCGTGCCCCCAGCCAGCCGTATCCCCCCAGGCATTCTCGAACTGTGTTCGAGATGCTCGGGCTCGTGCGTCTTCGCATCGCTCACCGGTGGGCCCCGTGGGGAAGAGCCAAAGGACGCATCGCCCTCAGTGCAACCGAGTGTGGGTGTAGCCGGCCATGTCAAGCAGTCGTGCGATCTGGCGCTCGCGTCGTCGGCGTCGGCAAAGCGTCCCAAGTTGTCCGCAAGTATGCAGTGGAAGCCGGGGGGGGGGGGGCGCGTGCAGACACGAGCGTGAATAAAAAAGGAGGGTCGGGCAATTTTGTTGCCATCCTTCCAGGGTGCCGTTGCGCAAGCTTTGTTTCCTGGGGCGTGACCTTCAACGGCGCCTGCGCGTTCCTTTCTTCTGGCAAAAATGGGTCCTTATGCGTGCTCCTCTTGGCAATCTCCCAGTTGGCAGTGTTCAGTGCACTGACGCTATGCGATTCGCGACGAATTCTCTCGCCACTATGCGGTGGGGTGCTCCGAGTAGTCCGCGCTCCACTCGCGCGATAAACGAGAAGCCCGAATGCGCTGATGAGGAGAAGCTCACCAGGGGCACATGACCACGACGGTTACGAGGATCACTACGAGAAGACCGCCACTGGTGGGAGCCGAGACTGTCGCGCCTCCTCGAAACCTGGAGGGGGCTTCAGTCTGGATGGAAGGCAATCGGAGTGGGCATGATTGCTGCCATCAGCTGCGTCGCCTGCGTGGACGCGGGCGGTGGGGGCAGCGGCAACATGCGACGCCTCCGCACCTGGGGGCCCGAACAGCAAGCCCGCGTGCCCTGTCCGACGCTGGGTGCAGGAGGTGATGATTTAGTCAGTGGCGAACTCTCAGATCTCAGCCAGTTTCGCCGAGCGGCCTACGTCTCGTCTCGCTTGATGGGCATGGCTCGCGAGTGTGTGGGCGAATGGCCGCCGGCTGTCCCCATCCAAGGTTGTCATATCAATGGCAATCCAGCGCCGCCTATGACCTGCCTCAAGCGCTGCTTGGCCGAACGATTTGGCCAGCTCGGAGAGGGGGCGCGCGCCCAGGCGGTGTCGGCCCTGATGAATTTCGACCGTTCGCTGCAGGGGCGCATCGACAACTTCCTCGCCGGGTTCGACATCCTCCGCAGCCGGGCGCAGCAGGATGTTTAATTCGTGATTTGCCACGAGGGCCTGAACTACCTCTTGCTGCGCGCGGCAGGCGCGTCGAACATCCAGCTCGCCATGGTCCTGCAGCGCTGCAACCTGACTCGCCTTGCGGACGCGTCGCAGCTGGCGCGCATGGTGGGCCAATTGCGCTGACCTGGACATGATCTAAGGCTCGCCGGGCAACCTCGCCTCGGCCTTGCATTCGCCCCAGCGCCGAGCGTTTCTCACGGGTGCGCTCGCGCGCGACCAGGACCAAGAGTGCTTGTGGCTCTGGAGCCGGACCGAGCTGGGATGGCGCGGGCCCATCAGCCCTAGGAGCAGCGCCAGCGCCATGGCACGACCGAGTCCACCGTCAGCGCCAGCAGCCGCCAACACCGACACATTAGTAGCAGCGCTGGCGGCGTGTCCAGCGGCAGGTCAGATCTGCGTGCGCAGCGACGGCTCGTTCAAGCGTGAGGAGGAGGGAGGATGCGGCATGCGTGGCGCCGCATGCGTGCGTCTGGGCAAGTAAGTGTCGCAGTGCTGGCAGCCAGATCTGCAATTTGTGATTGTTTTCTCATTCGTTGTTTTGCCGATCGGCGCGGGCCCTCGCACCCCTCCTGCCCCCCTTCCCCGGGAGTATCGTTTTTGGCTGCTTCTGGCGCCTGTTTCGGGCAGGTGGGGCCTCCCCCGCAGGACGCACTGCTTCAAACTGTCGCGCTAAGCAGAGGTCCGGGGCCCTCTCCCCGTGCCCCCCGTTCTGCCCCGTGGTAGCAGACGGCCTACAGGCGTGCCTCCTGGCGCCCCGCGAGATGGTGCGCGGGCCCGCTTCAGCAGATGGGATCAGGAGGCTGAGGGAGGAGGGAGGTTACGCTGTGCCGGCCGAGCTGGTCGTGGACGGGATGTTTCTTTTTTTCCGCGTCGGCCATGGACCACGTGTGCTCCCGACACAGCAGCCTCAACAACGACGCGGACGACGCCGCTGGGTAACCCACCTGGCGCCGCATGTCCGAGTTGCGTTCGCGAATGCAGCGACCGCCATGCATATCTCGAGCTGTGCTCGCGACTGCGACGCAGTCCATCAGGGAGAGAGAAATACAGGGGCTCGCATTTCGGGAACGGTGTCCGTGAATGCGACGCGGCAAGCGAGAGTGATAGAGACCAATGATAGGCTTGGCGCCATCAGCTGTGTTGGTGGGCGGCAATACTGTGGCAGGTGAGCATGCAACTCAGTCTTTGCGTGCTCCCGCAGAGTAGTCTGCCGCCTCGCAGCGTTTTATGAGGAACCTGGTTAGTAGAGGGTTCCCTCCCTAATTTGTACGAGGCGGGGAGGTCAGCAAAACCCCCTACACTGTAATCGTCTGTGCGTGTGCTTTTTTAGTTAGACCTGGTCAGTGGAAGGTCTCGTCAGCTTAGCCCGGTTTTACCCTGCTGGTTTGGGTATGGTTTGCACGTCCGGACCGGCGAGACACAAGCAGACCCGCCTGAACATCATACTCGCACGGTAGCTTTTCGCACTGTCCCTGCCTAGTTTGTCTTCTCCCTTCCGCCGCCGTTTTCCCTCGGAGGCGCGGAAGGGTAACCAGCCGTGCCCATGCTATACGCGTGCTCTTTACATATAGTGTTACTTTTCGCAGTGTAGGATATCGCCTTTTCACACCACATCTTCATTTCTAGTCTCATATTCCCCATCCTCCTCTTCCTCCTTCTCTTCATCCTCCTCCTTTTTCTCCTCCTCTTCCTCCTCATCATCATCGTCACCATCATCATCATCATTATCATCATCCCGTTCCCCCTCCCCCTCCCCCTCCTCCTCCTCTTCCTCCTCCTCCTCTTTCGCCTCCTCGTCCTCCTCCTCCTCCTCCTCCTCCTCCTCCTCCTCCTCCTCCTCCTCTTCCTCCGCATCATCATCGTCACCATCATCATCATCATCATCATCATCATCATCATCATCATCATTATCATCATCCCCTTCCCCCTCCCCCTCCCTTCCTCCTCCTCCGCCCTCCCCCCCGCCTCCTCCTCCTCGTCTTCCTCTTCCTCCTCCTCCTCCTCCTCCTCCTCCTGGTGCGACGGCGACCTCCTTAGAGGGGCCCCTTGACGCCCTGGTGGCCGAGCCGGCGCCCGCGCCCGCGCCACAGGACGCTCCCGGCCTGTATGGCGCCGGCTTCACGTTCGCGTGCCTGTTGGTGCCCCGCCTGTCGTCGCCGCCGCGCGCCGGGTGTGCCCGCCGCGGGCCGCCTCGCATCGCATCTCGTCGCGTCGCGTCGCATCGCATCGCCTCGCATCGCATCGCATCGCATCGGTCGTCCGTCTTCGTCGTCGTCGTCGTCGTCGGTCGTTGGTCGTGTGTCGTCGGTCGTCAGTCGTCGTCAGTTTTCGTCCGTCGTCCGTCGTCTGTTTTCGTCGTCGTCGCCGTCGTCGACGTCCGTCGTCCGTCGTCTGTAGTCGTTGTCCGTCGTCTGTTTTCTTCGTCGTCGTCGTCGTCGTTGTCGTGGTCGTTCGTCGTCCGTCGTCTGTTTTCGTCGTCGTCGTCGTCGTCGGCGTCGGCGTCGTCGTCGTCGTCGTCGTTCGTCCGTCGTCATCTCCGTCGCCCCCGTTTTCGTCGCTTAATGTCCCTCTTCCAGTCTCGCTCCTCCCTGCTCCTCGCTCTTCGCTACCCTGCCCTGCTCATCCCTGCCTCCTCCCAGCTCTCTCCAGAAAAAAAACGGGGTCGGAAGGTGTAGGGAGCAGGAGGAGGTGGAGGAGGAGGAGGAGGAGGACGAGGACGAGGACGAGGAGGAGAAAGATGAAGAGGAGGGGGAGGAGGAGGAGGAGGAGGAGGAGGAGGAGGAGGAAGAGGCGGAGGCGGAGGGGGGAGGGGGAGGAGGAGGAGGAGGAGGAGGAGGAGAAGGAGGAGGAGGATGATGATGAGGAGGAGTTGGATGATGATGATGATGATGATGATGATGATGATTGATGATGATGATGATGATGATGAGGAGGAGGAGGAGGAGGAGGAGGAGGAGGAGGAGGAGGAGGAGGATGATGCTGCTGATGGTACCAGGCGACCCGCCGCGAGGTGGGGCGACTGAAGGCAGGGGCCCAGGGCTCTGTTCGTTTTTGCTTCCTCCTTCTCCTCCTGCTCCTTTCTTTCTTGCAGCGATGTCTGAGCGCGCATTTTTCCAGCTTCAGTCCGTGCCCCGCATGGCGGCCTAACGCTGTTCGATCGGACCCTAACGTATCGTAACGTAACGCATTAGTTTGCGTTGTGTTGCCTGGCAGAGATTTATATTGCTTTGCGTTGCTTTGCATTACTTTGCATGGCTTGGTGCTGCTTTTCATTGCGTTGCATTGCTTTGTTTTGCTTTGCGTTGCTTTGCGTTGCTTTGCATGGCGGTGCATTTGGTTTGTATTGTTTTCTTATTCCATTGCGTTTCATTGCTTGGCGTTGTTTTGCATTGCGTTGCATTGCTTCGCGTTGCTGTGCGTTGCATTTTTTGCCTTGTTTCACATCGCGGTGCATTGCGTTGCCTTCTTTGTTTTGCTTTGAAATCGCATTGCGTTGCTTTGCATTGCGTTTCTGTGTTGCATTGCTTTGCGTTGCTTGGCATTGCTTTGTATTGCTTTGTATTGTTTTGTATTGCTTTGCTTTGCATTGCTTTGCGTTGCTTTGTTTTGATTTGCGTTGCTTTTCATTCATTTGCAAATTTTTACATTGCCTTGCATTGCCTCGCTGTGTTTTGCAGTGTTTTGCGTTGCTTTGCGTTGCTTCGCATTGCTTTGCGTGGCTTTGTGCCACATGTGTTGCACCACGTGGGCCGTACCATGTAGAATGCGCCTTACTGATGCCACCATTCCATCGCACCGCGTATATGCAATAACTCATTGTTTAGGGTCAACACTGGATGATACGTATTTGCATCCATCTATACATGAATATATATGTATCGGTATGCATATTTTCATACGTACACACATGTATGTATGCATGCATGCATGCATGTATGTATGTATGTATGTATGCATGTATGCATGCATGTATGCATGCATGTATGTATGTATGCATGCATGTATGTTTGTATACATGTATGTATGCATGTATGTATGTATGCATGCATATATCTATGCATGTATGTATGTATGTATGTATGCATGCATGCATGCATGTATGCATGCATGTATGTATGTATGTATGTACGTATGGACGTTATGCATGTGTATGTATGTATATATCCATGTATGTAACGTACTAATGTATGTATGTATGTATGTATGTATGCATGCATGCATGTATGTATGTATGTACGTACGTATACGTATTTATACGTATGTAATGTATGTATGTATGTATGATGTATGTAGTTGTATGTATGATGTATGTATGTATGTATGTATGTATGTATGTATGTATGTATGTATGTATGTATATATATATATATATATAAATGTATGTTTATATTTGTATATTTGTGTATACATATAGATGTAAATGTGTAGACATGCATATCTGTGAAAGAGTGTGTTCTATCGCTGCTGGCGGAAAACCGGGTGGGGGTCACTACCGGTTCGAGCTCCCCCCCTCCCCCCCCCCTCCGGAAAACCAAGGGGGGTCACTACCGGTTCGAGCCCCTCCCCCCTTCCCCCCCCCAGTCCATCATGAAAAGGGGGGGGGGGTCACTACCGGTTCGAAGCCCCCCCTCGAAAACCGGGGGGGTCACTACCGGTTTGACCCCCCCCCCTCCTCGAAAACTGGGGGGGGTGCGGACAGTGGTGGGGACGGTGGTGGTGGGGACAGTGGTGAGGGGACAGCGGGACAGTGGGGACACTGGGACAGTGGTTGGGATGGTAGTGGTGGGGACAGTGATGAGGACAATGGTGGGAACAGTGGGGACAGTGGGACAGTGGTGGGGACGGTTGTGGTGGGGACAGTGGTGTGGGGACAGTGGGAATGTGGTGGAAACAGTTGGACAGTGGAGGGTACAGTGGTGGTGGGGACAGTGGTGAAGGCGGTGGCGAAGACGGCGGTGGGACAATGGGACAGAGGTGCAGCGGGGACAGTGGTGGGGACAGTGGGGACAGTGGTGGGAACAGTGGGACAGCTCAGTGGGACAGCGGAGGAGTCAGTGGGACAGTGTGGACAGTGGAGGTAGTCGGGCAGTGGTTGGGGTCGTGGAGAAAGTGGGAAGAGTGGAACCGTGGTGTGAACAGTGGTGGGGACAGTGGGGACTGTGCGACAGTGGTGGGGGCACTGGTGGGGACAGTAGGGACGGTGGTGGAACCAGTGGGGACAGTGGACCGTGGTGGTGAGGACAGTGGTGCTGGGAACAACAGTGGGGGATGTGGTGCGGACGGTGGTAGGGACCGGGAGTCGTTTGCTGGCGGTGATGGGGGGGGCGGGGAGGGGTTCGAACCGGTAGTGACCCCCCTCTGGTTTGGGAGGGGGGGGGGAGAGGGGGGAGGGGAGTTTGCCGGGGGAGGGGATATATATATATATATATGTATATCTATATGTATATATATATATACAAAGGTGCGCACTTGTCTCCCCATTCCTCTTTCTAGTGTTCCTGCGGCTGCCACTTGCGGGCCAGAGTCGATGCCCTTGAGGTGCAGTAGCCTATACCTGGCATGCCGCATTCCGCCGTTGTCTTCTCGGCCGTCGGCAGTTGTTTGTTGGAAACTTGTATTTCTAGTATTGGCAGAACATTGGAGGTTGCT